CACCATCCTTAAGGGACCGAAACTCCCTCAGTTCTTCCCTCCTTCCTGTCATGTGACGCGAGCAGCCACTGTCTATGTACCATTCGTCATCGAACTGCTCGTCACTAATAACCTGCAAATTCAAGCAGATTTAGGAACCCCAAAGTCTCTTGGGCCCTTGTGAGTCTTTTACAAAAAAGGAATAGCAGTAGAAATATCAACCAAATAAGTTCTTTTTATTAGAGTTGTTTGGTCTTTTTCTTTTGATGGTAAACACCTTGATTTTGTTTTTATCTTGTTTAAATTGTGGTGTATTAGATGGTGTGTTGTTAGATGGTTTTGGGATTTTCTTCTGAATTCTAGGGTTAGCTGACTTTTTCTTATTATTGATATCAGAATCTGAATCAAGCTTTCCCTTTCCTTTGATGTCCTTCACTGAATTCGGCTTTCTTTGGGAGTAGGAAGGACCGAAACTTGACTTTCGGTTGTTAGCCTTGACGTTGTGACCGAAACTTGACATTCGGTTCTGAGCGCTGGTGTTGGAACCGAAACTAGACGTTCGGTTCTGAGCTTTGGAATAGTAGGAGCTTGGACTAAAATTTTCTTTTCCTTTTGGCTTTTCCTTTTCTTTTACAATTGACTCTTTCTTGGAAGGAACGTAGTTAGGGTTTTGAGATTGCCAATACCGTTTTCGCTCATTCAGATTTTTCATGTATCTCTGATTTCTTTGGCGTTTCTGTTCAGCTAAGTCCTTTTGAGATTTATTAATATTGAAGCTTGATTTTGGCTTCTCCTTTTAAGTTTCGGCAGTCTTGGAAGGAACATTCGGTGTTTTCTTTGGTTCTTCAGGTATCTCTTTTGTTCCACTTGTGCTTGGTTTGTCAAAACTCGAGGGTTTGTTGATGGGTTCTGCAACGTATCTACCTTTTACCCTCCATGAGGTTTGCTCCGATAAGCCGATGGTTTTGTCTGCGTTATCAATAGGGGCTGACCAGAAATAATCGTCGCACCCTTCAGCATTGTCTTTGTCGACCAAGATTTTCAATTCTACTGTTTGTTTTGCAGTGTCCCTTGTAACAGCATATACCTGATTTGGCATAGTTTGAACCTTTTGATAAACCATTGCTTTCTCTTTGAGTTTATGTGGCTTGTCCTTTGACAGGCGAGCGTATTCAACCGAGTTTTCAGATATGAGGGATTTCTCATTCTCGGTTTCGCTCTTCATAAATTCAGAGCAATCAACCACGTCTTCTACTGAGATTTCGCTCATCTCACTTTCCTCATCAAATTCAGACGTGTTTTCTATATTCATTTTATGTTCTGAAATTAATATGGCGTTAGACGAGTCAAATGATTGAATGGTCTCAGACTTAATTTTTAACCTATCATTTTCATCTAAAAGATTTTTGAGCATACACTTATGCTCCTTAGAGTCAATGAAGGTCTCTATCTTGTCTGTCCAATTTTATAAGCGATGGGTGTCTCTTCTGAGGACATTATGGATTCACATTCAGCGATGACCTCATCCTCCTTAAATTCAAGGAAGGGTAAGATCATCTTATGAATCTTTTTCCCTATTTCACAACTTAAGTGCAACTGAGCAATATTTGTACATAAGCGTTTAGCAATTAAACAAAAAACATTCCTTTGTTTCAAAAACTTTAAATTGTCTCGTTGCAAATAAATAATTTCATCCCTAGCCCTATTTAACTCTGTCTCCTTCAGCTCAATCCACATCCTTCTCTCCTCACTCTTTGAAGACACCCTGCTGAGTTGGTCAGTTAGGTTAGAGTTCGCTAAGCGAGTTTGCATGAGACTACCACTTAAGTTAGAAAATTTAAATTTTAATTCATTTAATTCTTCTTCATAATTTGTTACTGGAACTTTAAGTGATTCAAGGATGGATTGTACCTTTTTGATCAGCCGATCATAATCATTGATCTTCTCACTCACGGGCTTGGCTGCAAAGCACTTGTCCTCAGTCAGGTTCGGCTCCTTACACTCACTTTCGGTTGGTCTACCAGCTGTAACCATCAAACATTTTCCAGCCGAACCTGTGTCCCTTGCCACATAAGCTCTTCCATGTGTGGGCTTTCTCACTTCTTCATCCTCAGAATCGGTTGACCAGACTTCAACGCCACCGAACTCATCTTCATCCACATTTTCCTGCACAATCAAGGCATTCATTGAACTGTTAGTTGCCTTCTTTTTCTTGATTTCTTCCAACTTTCGCATGTAGTATGCCTCATCATCTTCACCATCCCTTTTCTCAGCCATCTTCCTCAGCATGCAATCTTTGGCAAAGTGGTTCTTGCCATGACAGTAATTGCAGTCGAATCTAGAGTCTCCGGCAAGCTTGCTTTCCTTCTTGTCGTCATCCTTTTGAGAAGTATTCTTCGCTTCTTCTTTCACCTTCTCAAAACTGTAACTTCCTTGCCAGTTTCGGTTCTTATTGACAGGGAACTTCTTTTGTGCAAACTTCTTTGGATTGGTGACCATCATTGCATATTCTTCGCTTGTAAGATCACACTCAGACATATCTGACTCCTCCTCTTCTTCTGCAACACTTTTGCCTTTAGAGACAAGGGCCAATGATCCCACACCCGAAACTATCTTTGCCTCCTTGGTTACTACATTCTCATGGGATTTAAGTATTCCCACCAGTTTCGCTAGTGAGTATGACTTAAATTGTTCGTGAGCTTTCACTGTTGAAACCACTGCCATCCACTCTGGTCTCAAACCATTCATGAAGGTTACCTTTTGCTCGATCAATTTTCTTTCTATACCATGCTTGATCATCTTGCTACGGAGATGATTGAAGCGATCGAAGGTTTGTATCAGTTTCTCTTCAGGTTTCTGTTCGAAAACTCCAAATTCTGAGAGCAGCAAGGTTTGAATAGAGTGTTCTAGATCTTCATTGGTTGAGTAGAGTTCTTTCAACCTATCCCAGATTTCTTTAGCCGTCGTGCATGAACCAACTAACCGAAAAGTGTCAGATTGCAAAGCGAATCTGATCATTCTCATGGCCTTCACATTACATAGCAACTTGTCCTTTTCATCCTGTGGCATCTTATCTACCTCCGCCACAAGCTTATTATATTCCTTTTGAGTCTTCACCATCGTGTTCGTTCCAGAGTGAACAAACGGCCCAAGTGTGATTGCTTCCCAGATGAGATAACCATTATCTTCAGATCCAACCATGTAATCTTCAAAGTGATGCGCCCACACTTCATAGTCTTGAGTGTAAAGAATGGGAACCCTTGTAGTGGATCCAATGCTGTTAGAGATGTTGATGGGATTAGTTTGAGAATCTTCGTGAGACATGGTGAGCCTTTCCTTAGAACCGCTAGAATCAGACCTGTAAACTTGAGATTAGGGTTTTATCAAACACAAGAGTTACCGTCGACAGGAAGAAGACGACTTCTTTATATTCGATAAAAGCGGAAACCCTAAAGAATTCTTAACACAGAAGGAATGTGTATTGATCACACAGTCTCCTGCTTTGATACCAATTGTTAAAACAAAGTTCTAGTAGGATCGATAGATTCTAAGCAGAAAAACAATTAAATGAAGTAATGAAGAACACATGAATGGTTTAACTGATGTCGAATGATTAAACTTTAACACCTCATAAGAGCTCGATTAAGAACTTCAACTGTAGAGGTGTTTAGGGTTACAAAGCAATAATGACTAAAATCACGACCGTATCTAAGGCATACATGCATGCACTATTTATAGCTAAACCCTATAATAATCACGGATGGACAGGCCCAATCCGGATATACAAAACTAAGCCCATGACGCAACATACAATACCCAACACTATCAAAGTACAACTTGAAAATGCACACTGAAATACATTGTTCCACATTATCAGATTCAATATTTCTTGACTCAACATTCTCCCACTAAATGTTGGATCTGATGAGAAGCACACTTTTTTTTCCATGCCATTTTCCCTTAAAAGAATAATCAATCATGTAATCAAACATCAGATTCAATATTTATCACATCATCAAATTCAAATATTTCTTGAATCAATAAATATATATAGAAATCAATGTGGCAAGTTCATATAAGGAACATACACTAGTACAAAAAGGACCTATGTCAATAGACTTCAAAAAAAGGTTGTCATGGTTTTGGTTATTTGTGTCACTAAAGGTCAGTTATCAAATTCTAGTAATGTTTTTGGTTATTTGTGTCACTAAAGGTCATTTATCAAATTCTAGTAATGTTTTAGTCACATATTAACTAAAAGTTATCACAAAATGTCACCAACATGTGACTATAAGTGTTTTATGATAACAGTTTAATTTCATATGACTAATTAATGATCTTGAATATAAAAGAATAACAGCATGTGACTGTAAGTATTGTATTATGACATTTAAAAAATACATGTAACTAAAAGTATTTTATAGTGATGTTTTAATTTTTATGTGTATCTAAACGTAAAAAAATAGTAACAAAAAAACATGTCCTTATAAGTGGTTTATGGTGACAGTGTTGGAAAATGAAACCAATATTTGGAGGAAATTCAATTTTTTCCTGTCATTCCAATTTTCCCACTTTACTAAAATTTTAATATTTATTCCCTCTTTACCAAAACTTAAACATTTTTATTTCCTTCTTTTTCAATAAAAAAGTAGACCTAATCCCCTCTAACTCTATCTTTGTCGTTGTCTCCACAAAAAACCTTGGATGAGCCCCTTTTTTTCTCATAAGCGGTTATTGAAGCTAAGCCATCGATTTCATCTTTGGATACAGAAACATAGATCAATTGACGGCATCCTCTCAACTCCTCCAATTCTGTCATTGTCGTCGTCTCCACAAAAAACCTTACGTTGTCGCTCCTTCTCCTCATTGTCCTCGGCCGTCATTCCTTCTCCTCCGACATCCTCAGCTCCTCCAAAATCCCTCTGACATCAGATCCTATTGATTGCAAAATAGTCATCGATTTTACCCTTGATGATAATCACGATCGGGTTTTTTTCCCTTAAAATCGTAGAGCGATTGATATGAGGCGTCATGCATTGGATTCTTTTGTTAATAGGATTCCATTCCATCGATTTCGGGTCTATCTGCTCCAAAGAATTTCACGGTTTATATGTATGTTGTTACTCGATTTCATTTTTTCTTCATGTGCGTTGATTTCAATTTCATTGTTGAATTGTAGAGAAAAAGAAGTAGAAACTTTTGGAAATAATAGTTGGACTCGAACAAGCTGAAGCTCTGGTATCATATTTACATGTTATTGCTACGAAATACTTCCTCATATACACATTACAGATAAAATTTATCTTTTTATATTGCTTTAGATATGCAAAATGGATCTTAAGGCGAGAAGCTTGAAGCCAAATGTGAAAGCTGTGCTCCTTGCCAAACTAAGGGAATGCAAATCTGATCTGAATAATTTGAAGAGTGAAGTTAAACGACTTGCATCAGACAACATAAACCAGGCTGCAAGAGATGATTTGTTGGAATCAAGAATGATAGATGCATCATTGGTATGCAAGTTTTGTTATTATTTAGTTGAAATGAAAATTTACTTTTCAAAATTACATCTGTCTTAAAATGGAACATGAACATTTAATATAATCGATATGTAGGAGTTATTAAATGTTAAAAAGGGGGTAAATGCATGAAGTAGCAATCTAGTTTTTAATGTTTAGTAATCATGTATAAGCAGGGGTAATAAGGTATTGTAGTTGTTTATTTGATCCAAATAATGATTTTACTTAAAAATTATGGTAGCAGAGAACTATTAGAGGATAAAGGAGTTGTTATGGTGCTGGAGTTCCTTTGAGTATTATCCATTTCAGTTTGGTGAGAGTTCTTGTGGGGATATGTTGATGTTGTTCTTGTTCTGGACATGTATTAACCATCGAGGTACTGAACTCCCTTCCTTTATGATTTTATTGATTTTCTTGTTTGTTAATTTAAGGCTTCAAATATGTAGGCATATGTTGATGTTGTTCTTGATCTTGGTCTGGCATAACATTTCATCACACCTACAACAGGATAGACTTCCATAGGTATAAACATGGCAACTCCGACATTGAGATTACAAAAGGGTTGTTTTTATCCTTTTTATTTACTAACCTATATTAAAATTGGAATGAAATTGTGAATTCCAACACATAATGGAAAAGGAATGGGCTTACAGGAAATCATGTGAAGTATTCTAGAACTGATGCTTTATTGGTCACTATATTATCCTTCTTTCAAGTTTTTCCTGCTTCAACATTGTACATTTATAAATATTACCAATTTATAACTTATTCTTGCATTTTGCGATGAATAATTATGGTGTGTTCAAATAGGAAACAATCTTGCATTTGTTAATGATTTACCTATGTGGTGGATGTTGTTGATTACCGTATGCTAAACATTTTCACCCCTAGGGGTGAAAGTAAGTACGACTCATGTATTGGATCATATATATATATATATATATATATATATATATATATATATATATATATATATATATATATATAATAGAAATGTACTTTCGTTGTTTAAAGTTGTTAAAAATACATAGTTTTTAATTTCTCTTTCTTCTTCTCACATGCCACTGATTTACAACGGTGACAAACACAACTTAAATAACAATTGGCAAATTTTATGAGATAATTTAATACTCGGTAATCCAACAAATGTCATTTTTTTAATAACTAAATTGTTAAGCATTTATTACATTTTATATATATGTAATTGTATCAGACATTTTTCATGTATTAGACAATTTGTATAGTATGTCTATTAATTTAAGTTGTTTATCATAATAACGTACATGATGTTAATTGAACAATATTTGGCATAAAATGATTCTAAGTTCAATGCTAGTCCTGACAAACAAAAAAGTGTGATTGAATGTAAATAATACTCACTGTTTAATCTATTATGTGTCATTAAAAGTCAATAATATCTATGGCAAACAAAAAAATGTGTGACTAAAAGTAGTTTATAGTCATGGGTTAATATATTACGTGTCACTAAAAGTCAATAGTAGTCATGACAAACAAAAAAAACATGTGACAAATTGTCGTTTATGGTCACCGTTTAATAAAAGATCTGTTATTAGAAATCAATAGTAGTCATGACAAAAGAACGAAACGTGTGACTAAAAGTAGTTTATGTTCATGGTTTAATATATTACGTGTCACTGAAAGTCAAGAATAATAATAACAAATGAAAAAACATGTGACTAATACTACTTTATGATCATGTTTTAATATATTACGTGTCACTAAAAACTAACAATATTCATGAAAACAAAATAACTTGTGAGGCAAAATAGTTTATATTGAAGGTTATAAAAAATTGATTAAATAAAACTATAAAAAATGTCATCTTATGGTGACGGGTTTTACCTATAGTAAAGGTTTTTATAGGTTATAGTCACCACAATTATGTCACCATAACTTACCTTTAAAGATGCAACATTTTCTTACACATTGAATGAAAAAAAAACCGTTATAAAATGTCTGTATTGACATGTTTTTTGCGTGACCAAATACCAGTTTTGTATTAATTATAGCTCTTTTCATAAGAAATACTACATAAATCTCAACTCTAAAAACTTGCTAAGAAAGTACATCAGTACATGAAATGACCATCTATCACCAAATTAGTTCAAGTTTGACTTAACTCATAATACCCCAAAGCTTCGACTAGTAGAAGTTACTAAGAAATTTGAGAAGAGAAAAACCAAGCTTCGACTAGGTAACGCTTCTTGGTAGCTAGTGTAATAACAACACCAATGAATTCCTTGTGTAAGAGGCCCATAAGCAAAACGACCTAAAGTCAGTCTTTAATATCCTATATGCCACAAAAATACAAATAACTTTAAAAAAAAATTAATTATCAGATTCAAATTAATTTTAGCAGTTGAGTCCAATGCAATACGCCAATACAAACGGGCACCAACAAATATAACCAAACTGCCTGGCGAAATCTAATAACGGCAAGGGGACGTGGCCCACTTTCACTGGGCCCACCTAGTAATTCAACTTCAACCCCATTTTTTAGTCTCGCATCCTTCCCTCGAATCCCAACCCTGAATAGTAGAAAAACAATCGCCACGGCTACTACCACCGCTACTGCCGCCGTTGGGACCTGCCGCTGCTGCTATCAGAATCTCGCTGTCAAGGTTTTGGAGACTTTTCTTTCTCAGCAGCTCTTAATCTCTTTAGGTACAAAATTATTAATTTTATAATCAATTCTCCTTTTACTTATAAATTATTGTATATTACTATTAAAGTATTTGTTAGGTGCTGTTAATTGAAATTTGTTAGTTGTTAAATATTAACTGTTAATGGTTTGTTGATTATTAATTATTTGTGGTAAAGTTATTGTTAGTAGCAATTTCTGTTGTTTTAGTTATTAATGGTTATGCAACAAAACAAACTGATAGGGTTAGAGACATTTCTTTTAGGCCATGATAGGGATGTTTGGGGTTGCTCTTATATAAACAGCTTGTATATTAGAATTATTATTATTTCTGTTAAAGTGTTTATTAACTTATTTGATACCAAAAGAAAGTTAAAAAAAGGAATTAGTTTATATGGTACGTAAGCACAATAGCTATTAAATTATTTTTTAGTATTTGTCAAGTTATGCTTATTAATATAAAATAACAAAAGAAGGGTAAAAAGATAATTTGGTAGGTGCAATTTTCTTCATGAGAAAAGAAGACCGGGGATATGATCCAAATCATTTTTCATGGTTGAAACATTGGTATAAAACAAATTAGTTTTCACATAGAATAATGACTTCCAGTTAGATTATAAGAGGTACAAATAACTTATATACAACAATTTTATTGACGGTTAATTGATACTTATTAATTATTGTGTTATCCGTTGATTGTTACTCATTGATTATTGTATTATTTATATATTAATTAATTTTTATTTTATTTTATATTATGTTAATAATATTGTAACCAGGCTCAATATTGTTTTGGATCCACCATGCCACCATCCACCACTACCAAGACTAAGAAAATTATGTCTTTTCTCGATTCATGCATGGAAGACTTACCTGTACATGTCATGGACAATATTCTCTCAAGACTCCCAATCAAGACGATCATCCGTTGCAAGTGTGTCTGCAAGAAATGGCTGGATCACATTTCCGATTCTTACTTTGCCAATATTCAACTCTCAAGATCACCTACAGGTCTCATGATTCATTCTGAAAATAACAAATTCGGTCACCCTTCACCGGGCTTATTGAACTGGATTGAGGTTGAAGACAAATTTGATCACCACCATTTACACCATGACCCTGTCATGAACCTTGACCTTAATCTTACATCCATTTTCCAAAAGTCTCAAATAAAGCTGGTGGGGTCAGTCAATGGTTTGCTCTGTTTGTGGCAATATGCTCCTGAAAGTGATAACACCTACATATGCAATCCAATCACCAGAGAATATATGATCCTCCCTAGGCAACAATACTATAGAGAAAGTATTGCAATAATTGTTTATTGTTTTGGTGTCGGCTCACTTACACGGGAATACAAAGTGATACGGATTTTCCAAGGGAATATACCTCATGATCCTACCTCAAAATCTCGGCCAAGCCTAGTAGAAGCTGAGGTCTACACCCTTGGCACTGGCGAATGGAGAAGTCTAGGTCATGCACCGTATTTGCTTAAAGGATTCCATGGGCCATTTTTGAACGGGCATGCTCATTGGATTGTTGTTGACGAGGATTCCCCTGAAAAACTTTGTGCTTTTGATTTTGACAATGAGACATTTGAGTTGTTCCCATCTCCTCCATCCGAAGCTAGAGACAAAAGTTGGATTTATAAAAGTGTGGGAGTCTTAAAGGGTTGTTTATGTCAATGTGATACCTACGATTCTAAATTCACAGTTTGGGTGATGAAGGAATATGGGATCAAGAAATCTTGGTACAAAGAGTTGGTGATGCAGCAAAGTATCAACCCTAATCATGATTTACTCACAATGGAAACCATGTATATAATTAAAGGTTTAAAAGATGGAACTATTTTGATGGCATCTTGTCGAAGCAACCTACACGCTTACTGTCCTCGGAGGAAAATAGTCATAGACACAGAAAGATTTGACTACAACATGGAAGGATATACTTATCGTCCTAGCTTTCATAGACTCCACAACTTCAAACACGAGAGAGTTCATAAGTTCTAAAGGTCAAGAAAAATTCTATAGTGAATATGCATTGTCATTTTTGTATCAAATTGTCCTTCGAGTTCAGTATGTTACTTTTGTCTTCTAAATTTTATCAAGTGATTTACTATGGTTTTGCAAAAGTGATTTTAATCTTGAAGCTATTTTCGAAACTTCTCAAATACTTCCAGTTGGCTTCGTTCATGTTCCCCGTATTTAATTGTTGATGACACCCCATTAGCATTTGTAAAATCCAATGTGTGACACAGTAACATAACTACACCAGCTTGCAAAGATGTCAAAGAAATTAACAAGTTGAGAGAAATTCCTATTCCAGATGAAAGATCAAAGCCAAGAACTGTGAAGCTCACTCAAATGCATTGAAACGTTTCAAGATTAATAAAGCAAATATATTTATCATATTATCAACGAGTTTGAAAGAAAATTAATTAATCAAATCTTTGTAACTTCGATTTGTTGAAGTATAACCCTTTCATTTGCATGGATTCACCATGCATATCTATATCTTTTACGTTTATGCCCTTGTGTTTATTGTCCAGTTTTGTTTATTTACTTGATATCCTTGTAGTGGGTAGTTTCTATTAGTTTCCATGTCATGTGTTAATGGGGTAGTCACCTTCTGTACTTTCGGTTTATGTAAGCCTTATGGCAGCCTAATTGTATTCGATTCAATTAGAGTGTAATATACACAACGTTGTGTAAGCTGTTCATTTGTGAGTGTAACTCAATTCCATGTTCGGTTGATTCTCCCATTCATATGAGCGGCCACTCCCTCTTTTTTCTCATCCTCTAATTTCTGAAGTGTGGTGTGGGCGTGTAAGATGTGTGGTGGTGAAGGTCAAGGGGTATCCGGTGGTGGTCTGCGGCGGGGTTCCACCTGTGATGGTAGTGGTTAGTGGCGGTAGGTCTCTCTCACGACCTGTGTCTATTGTTCTTTCTCTCTTGATCTTTGCGGTAGGTGGCCGACACCGGAAGTGGGTTTATGGTTATGGTTGGATTAAATATTGAATGTATTATGTTAAAAGACTGTTTTGATTAATGTTAACATTGTAGAGCACACATCCAAATGGGGCTTAACAAATAACAAAATATACAACAGCAAGACCAGTTGTGTTGCTTCTGTACACGAAGGAAAAAAAAAAAGTGTAAGTGTGTGTGTGTGTGTGTGGGGGGGGGGGGGGGGGGGGGGGGGGGGGGGGAGTGGGTAAAGCAGAGCAAAGCATGTAATTTTCTTCTATTATTCTTGATTAAAACAGCAACAGAGTTACAGAGGTAAACAAATAAATAGCCAAAATCATCCTAAGAACTTGGAACTTCTCCCCTCTAATAGTCTACTGTCAAGCATGGCTTTTTACTAATTAAAACACCTAAAAAGGACTAAACTACCCCTAAATGAAAACTTAGTTCTGAACTAGTTTAGATTAAATTAACATTTTAGAACACGAAAATCGATTAACCCAACAATCACCTCCTTAATCGGTTTCTTGATACCATTCGTTCACAACAATGTTTAATCACATTCTTTTCGAACCATCTCTATTCTCGACCTTTCCCCGACACTCGGCCTCCACCTCTGTCATATGTGTATGTGTCAGGTAATCTAGAAATGGTTTGTGGCTTAATTTGGGTTATAGGTAAATGGTTAGTTTTTTGATTTGTCTTATTTACTGATTGAACAAAGAAAGAAGGATAGAAGGCTTTGACTGAGTCACAAGCATGTGCACATTAGATAATTGAAGGAGGCTTCTAACCCAGTGACGTTATCAGGTGTTGAATTCCCTCTTTGAGGTCGAAAGTTCAAGTCTCGTTGTGAATATAGGTGGAATTAGGTGTGTTAGTTTAGGAGTAGATTCGATTTGCCGTCCAAAAAAAATAATAAATAAATTGAAAGAGGCATGTCGGGAATAGTTCAACCTTTTTACCGATTCTTTAGCTTAGTATTTAATTTTATTCTTTTCTTTTGTTCCCACTTGATGACGTATGGAAAGCTACATGTAGCCTTTATGTGATATGAATAATAAGAGAATCAACCTTATGCGCTTTTTACTTTTTCTTTACCCTCGTATACATTCATAACCCAAGAGTGAGACTTATTTACACTCCATCAAATTCACGTACACAAATAGTGAGCCTTTAAATACTACATTTGGTATCAGATCACCAAGGTTCATACCTAGTTCATAGCAAGAATGAGAAGACCGATTGAAACCCTATGAAATCAAGTTGAGAGGAAGAAAGCAAGTAGCGAGGTTGATCACATTTGTTGATCAGAAGAAAGAAGCGACAACAGAAATTTATTGCATGTTAGCAGGCAAGAAAAAAGATGCAAGTAGTAAGAAACAATAGGAATAGAAAGCAGGTAGCAAGAAGCAAGAAGAAAAGAAGCAACAATGAGATCAAGACCATTTTGGGAACTCGAAAGTTTAGCAAGAATTCCAAGAAACATGTGAACTATTCGTGAGCAAGTTCATGTACCACTTCAATGTCCTAAACTAACAGAAACGAACTATAATTAGTGGTCAATTATGGTTGAAATGATGCTAAGGGCATATGGTTTATGGGAGTCGGTGGATCCCGTAACAGGATGAAATATGGAAGCAAAGAAAAACCACACCACGAAAGCCATTATCTTTCAAACTCTACCACAAGATATTATGTTGTAGGTCTCTAAACATGAAGCGAATCGAGTTCGATACTTAGGAACCGATCGAGTTCAAAAGGCACATCTAGAAACTCTTAGGAGTGAGTTGCAGATGATAAAGATGAAGGAAAACGAGACTATTAATGAATTTTCGGGAGAGATAAATAGCATAGTGGCAAAATTTAAAAGTCACTGTTCAAGCCTACCTTGAAGAAGAAGTGGTTGTGAGAAAGCTTCTCAATTCAGTCCTAAAGAAATATCTACCAATCAATGCTTCCATTGATCAATACACGGACATTGAAACCATGTCTTTTGATGAAGCCGTGGGAAGACTCAAGGCCAACGTGTAACATCCCCCGCCGACACGTATCAAAATATTGTCCGCTTTGGCCACTCGACACGAAGACTTCCCAGGGGGTCACCCATCCCGGTACTACTCTCACTCAAGCACGCTTAACTATAGAGTTCTTATGGGATCTACTGCTCTCACGACTTTAGAACGCGTTGTGATAGGGAATGTATCCATACCCCTTATAAGGAATGCTTAGTTATCCATCCCAGTCGATGTGGGATCAGGTACAACCCACCTTCACCCCCCATTATAGGTTTCGACGCCTCTTTCGAACACATCGACTCGTTCCCTAGCTCTGATACCATTTGTAACATCCCCTACGACATGTATCACAATATTGTACACTTTAAGACCACTCGGAACGAAGAATTCCTAGGGGGTCACCCATCCCGGTACTACTCTCGCTCGAGCACGCTTAACTGCAGAGTTCTTATGGGATCTGCTGCCCTCACGACTTTAAAACACGTTATGATAGGGAAGGCATCTACACCCTTTATAACGAATGCTTAGTTCTCCATCCCAGTCGATGTGGGATTATGTGCACCCCCATTATAACACCTTGTTTTGGATCATTCTGTGATTCAGGGACCGTGGACCGTAATTCGAATATATGAAGGCTTTGGGGCTCTAAGGAAGTAAGATTTGGACTTTAATGAAAGAGGTTATTGTTGGTAAGGAGGTATAGGCCCTTAAATTGTGTATTGGAACCAAGGGTGAAATGAGGAAATCTATGTGTCAGGCCACTTGCAAGGCTTAAGGTTTTATGTTCGATCAGTGCTGATAACCATATTTTTTTTATTTGTGTTGTGTTGTATGTTGTATTTTGGGGAACTCACTAAGCTTTGTGCTTACGGTTTGTGGTTTAAATGTTTTCACGTTTTCTTATATTAAAGAAAGGGCATGGCTCGATTGCATCGCATCCACGGGATATTTGTGCACATGATAATTTAGACCACTCTCAGGTTTGTCTGAACTCAAACTAAGGAGTTTTGAAAATCTTTTAAAAGAAAACTATTTCTAAAGAGGTTTTAAGATAAAGAGGTGTGCAATGTGTGCAATCAACTGAGCTCAAGTAAGTGTTCCCAAAATAACCATACATGTTGATGTGTTTCATATGATAGTGATATATGTGGATTGCATGATAGAATGTATGTTTAGGAGAGATGCCTTTATACTTGTTGTGTGAGCTGGTAGTGTTACATGCTAGTGATTAGAGATCTTCAGGAGTTACGAAATATGACTGCTTGTTTATGCAACACTTTAAGTTCTAGATGCTCGAATGTTGCTTGCTTTGTGCTTTGTAGGACTAATATTGATGTAAGTTACTTATTGCATGAATATGTTAAGTTATTGAGTTGGCCCTATTGCACAGATCTTGTCTGAGTCTAACCGTTGTAGGGATGGGTCTTTTAGTCGAAAAATTATTTAGGTTTTGTTGCATGTAATTGTATTCATGAAGTAGTTAGCTGACATCAATGGGAGTCCTTCAGCAGCTGATGGCAGGGTGAGGAGGGAATCCTAGGAGAGCTTAGGAATCGTTTTAGTATGAGTAGTGCGTTGTTTAGTATATTTTGGAAGGTATCATTATGAGGAAATGACTTAGAGGATTCAGGATGATTCTGAGGCAAGTACGGATATGTGTGGAAGGTAGTATTGGGCACGCACTACAAAAAGCACAGGATCCATACTCGAATCAAGGAAAGTCCTAGAAATTCTAAGGATCTGGTTGAGGGTAGGAAAATGGTTTGGCACAATAAATCTGTTGCAACATTTTGGTATTTATCAGCCTTTCGGTTATGGTTGTCCGGGATGAAGAAGGGTCTAGTGATTGTTTGGGCCTTAGTGGCCATGTCAGTTTAGGAATGAATGGTGTAGATCTAGATGATAAGTGGATTTTGAGGTCTTAGGGGACTTGCTTGAGGTAGTGCCAGTCTGAGTCATGGGACTCAAGGAGGGAGAGATTAGGATGAGCGACTTGAGGATTACAGCTTGAGGTTGAGTGATCGG